GGAAGCTCCGTTTCGGAAGAATAATGGTTCATGTTTTTATGTTCCACTTTCCCATACTCAGTGATACTTCATAGGTTTTCCTAATCTGTTGATGGGTAACATGTGTTGTGGACGGAGAATCGAAACGTCAGTTAGATGCTCCTGCCGTTACTTCACAACTGTTACATATTCTGCATATGATGCTACTATCCATCAGTCTAAGCAATGTCCGGCCAATGAAGAGTTTTATGCCAAGGACGCCATGAAATATTGCAATGTTGCAATAACGTGAGTAATTATTATATACCCGAAAATCAATACAAAACCAATTTTATCTTCCACATATCCTGCGCGATGCCAGTTCGAAATCCTGTTTTTTTGTGCTGATTTATCTGAGGATGAAGGATAAAGAATGCCATCTATAATATATGAGTGAATCTATAGATTAAGATCTACATCGGAGGTTAATGTGACCACGAGGGTATTGGATGATGCACTATCTAAGCCAGTGTGCTTTTGTAGGATGCGTCGATTTCCTGCAGTGGAGGCGACATACTCAATATGGTCGTCTTTTTATTGGTTGATCTACAGAATTATTTCTTTTGGGTAGGTGGTTGTAATAAAAACGAAATTGGTCCCTTTAATTATTTTGGTGTAAAAACATTGGTTCGGTAGTATGAGAAACTCCCCATACAATTTCAATTTTTGTGAAATGTCAACTGTTGCAATTGATTGGTGTACCGGTGAAGCTATGAATATTATTTAAGAGAACAATTAGTGAGTGAGTGAGTGAGTGAGTGAGTTGGGTTTAACGCCGCATTTAACAGTATTCCAGTTATATCGTGTCGGTTTAATGTGGGCGGAAAGCCTGAAGTAATGCAGGTCTCAAACATTTACCACTTTGGTGATACCACGAACACGGTATAGTGCTGACAAACCTAGAAACACACTCTCCTACCCAGAGTTCCATGCGGCCGGCAGCCAGCTAGCATAGTACCTCTGCGACAGGCCAGCGCCATGTGACGATTCGTCACATCTTTTCACAGTCCATTCAAGATATTGCATATGCTTTTCATCCGTTTCATGTTTGACAAGTCTACACATTTTCATAAACAAATGTCAAAGAATGGTTAACTTTCATTGAGAAAGTATGCAAATACGTAAAAATCAACTTGTTTTTGCGTAGTTATCCTATGTTTACATTGGTTGTACGGCTCCACGTGCTGTCATCGAAGCCCAACGGAGAGCTAGAGACACGGTCACTTTGATGCATAAATATATATTGTCATGCAACTCACTGTCGCAATTGTAGTAGCATATCTATATAGTTATGCAAAACAATATGTAAAGCGCCCCCAAATGCTTGCATTAGTCCGTTCTATACTGATTTCTGAAAAAGCGCGTTTGTTTACCATCAAGAGAAAAGTCCGGTCACGTGATATGCAAATTAGCCTGTGGCAGTGGTGTTATGCTGAGTCACCACTGCGACGAAGTGTGCTAGAAACATTTAGGCGAACAGGGATTCCAACCAATAGTCATAGGATTCTTGCGTGCCCAAGGGACGCAACTCTGACCAGCGAATTGCGGCGCCTTAGACGACCGGGCCTTTCGTACCCAAAAGCAAAAGGAAGTGGAGCTCGTTACTGTACACCATTATCATGATGTCACAATGAGTCATGAAGCACTGGAGGTGATGTCACAGTTGGGGATAATGCAGTTATAAATTTCAAGCTCTCTGTTGCCACCCGTACCCGTGAGCGAACGATTACGAGTCATCGTGGATTCATGTACGACTTGTCTGAGTAATGCAGGAAACTATTGATGATTTGTTATTCGGAGACGCGGTTATCAGACTAGGCGTTAATAGATTTAAATTGAGAATTCACTTATTTTTATCCCCAGGCCTGACTTTAGGTTCGGCGACTCGGTACAGCAAGTAATACGAAATGAAACTCATAGGTCGGAAATCCTTGTGTTCATCGAGACAAAGTTACTCTTTTATCATGAAGCTACTGAACTGTGTCCATGAGTTGTGTATGACACAGAGCATATTTATATTGACCTGTATTGACCTATGTACGGAAGCCTTTAAGGGAAACTTGTTCTGTTTGTTTTTTCTTGAAATTTCAAGATAGTAAGTTGAAATTTCAAGATTTATACGTTGAAATTTCAAATGAATATCTTAAAATTTCAACTTATTATTTTGAAATTTCAAGATCATTATCTTGTAATTTCAACTTTGTATATATCTTAAAATTTCAACTTAGTATCTTGAAATTTTAACATAGCATCTTGAAATTTCAACAAAGCATCTTCAAATTTAAATTTAGTATAAATTTAAACCCAGCATCTTGAAATTTCACCATAGCATCTTGAAATTTAAATTTAGTATCTTGAAATTTCAAGATACTAAGTTAAAATTTCAAGATACTATGTTGAAATTTCAACTTATAATCTTAAACTTTCAACTTAGTATCTTGAAATTTCAAGAAAAAAACACAAAACATATGGCCCTCAAAGGCTGCCGTTTCTTTGGTCAATCGGACTAACTAGTCTAAAAATTGTTTTACGCGAATTTTTTTACTAAAATCCAGATTTTATTGTAAGGTGAGGTCGTAAACTTTTCTCCAACACCCATAATTTACCTTATTGTGCGGTCGTAATCTTCAATCTAACGCCCAAACTTTCATATACAAGGTATAAGGTCAGGCGATCTTCACTTTAAAACACAGACTTTACTATTAAACGCGGTCGTAATCTTTAATCTAACGCCCAAACTTTCATATACAAGGTATAAGGTCAGGCGATCTTCACTTTAAAACACAGACTTTACTATTAAACGCGGTCGTAATCTTTAATCTAACGCCCAAACTTTCATATACAAGGTATAAGGTCAGGCAATCTTCACTTTAAAACACAGACTTTACTATAAGACGCGGTCGTAATCTTGAATCTAACGCCCAAACTTTCATATACAAGGTATAAAGTCAGGCGATCTTCACTTTAAAACACAGACTTTACTATAAGACGCGGTCGTAATCTTTAATCTAACGCCCAAACTTTCATATACAAGGTATAAAGTCAGGCGATCTTCACTTTAAAACACAGACTTAACTATAAGACGCGGTCGTAATCTTTAATCTAACGCCCAAACTTTCATATACAAGGTATAAGGTCAGGCGATCTTCACTTTAAAACACAGACTTTACTATAAGACGCGGTCGTAATCTTGAATCTAACGCCCAAACGTTCATATACAAGGTATAAGGTCAAGCGATCTTCACTTTAAAACACAGACTTTACCATAAGACGCGGTCGTAATCTTTAATCTAACGCCCAAACTTTCATATACAAGGTATAAAGTCAGGCGATCTTCACTTTAAAACACAGACTTTACTATAAGACGCGGTCGTAATCTTGAATCTTACGCCCAAACTTTCATATACAAGGTATAAGGTCAGGCGATCTTCACTTTAAAACACAGACTTTACTATAAGACGCGGTCGTAATCTTTAATCTAACGCCCAAACTTTCATATACAAGGTATAAAGTCAGGCGATCTTCACTTTAAAACACAGACTTTACTATAAGACGCGGTCGTAATCTTGAATCTAACGCCCAAACTTTCATATACAAGGTATAAGGTCAGGCGATCTTCACTTTAAAACACAGACTTTACTATAAGACGCGGTCGTAATCTTGAATCTAACGCCCAAACTTTCATATACAAGGTATAAAGTCAGGCGATCTTCACTTTAAAACACAGACTTTACTATAAGACGCGGTCGTAATCTTTAATCTAACGCCCAAACTTTCATATACAAGGTATAAAGTCAGGCGATCTTCACTTTAAAACACAGACTTTACTATAAGACGCGGTCGTAATCTTTAATCTAACGCCCAAACTTTCATATACAAGTTATAAGGTCAGGCGATCTTCACTTTAAAACACAGACTTTACTATAAGACGCGGTCGTAATCTTGAATCTAACGCCCAAACGTTCATATACAAGGTATAAGGTCAAGCGATCTTCACTTTAAAACACAGACTTTACCATAAGACGCGGTCGTAATCTTTAATCTAACGCCCAAACTTTCATATACAAGGTATAAGGTCAGGCGATCTTCACTTTAAAACACAGACTTTACTATAAGACGCGGTCGTAATCTTGAATCTAACGCCCAAACTTTCATATACAAGGTATAAAGTCAGGCGATCTTCACTTTAAAACACAGACTTTACTATAAGACGCGGTCGTAATCTTTAATCTAACGCCCAAACTTTCATATACAAGGTATAAGGTCAGGCGATCTTCACTTTAAAACACAGACTTTACTATAAGACGCGGTCGTAATCTTTAATCTAACGCCCAAACTTTCATATACAAGGTATAAGGTCAGGCGATCTTCACTTTAAAACACAGACTGTACTATAAGACGCGGTCGTAATCTTGAATCTAACGCCCAAACTTTCATATACAAGGTATAAGGTCAGGCAATCTTCACTTTAAAACACAGACTTTACTATAAGACGCGGTCGTAATCTTTAATCTAACGCCCAAACTTTCATATACAAGGTATAAGGTCAGGCGATCTTCACTTTAAAACACAGACTTTACTATAAGACGCGGTCGTAATCTTTAATCTAACGCCCAAACTTTCATATACAAGGTATAAGGTCAGGCGACCTTCACTTTAAAACACAGACTTTACTATAAGACGCGGTCGTAATCTTTAATCTAACGCCCAGACTTTACCATCAGCTGCGGTCGTAATCTTTAATCTGACGCCCAGACATTCATATACAAGGTATAAGGTCTGTCGATGTCTTAATGCGAAGCGGGATACACAACGTTATCAAACATTGTTCTGCAGACAAGTATCCATGCATATACATCGTGGGAATCCACAACCAATTCCATCTGAAATACATATAGCGGCAGTAACACGACTCTGGTATAATGAAGGCATGCATGCGTGTCAATCAGGTGTCTCTTGTGTGGCCAACTTGATAACCTTACGTGTGTTGATGTCCAGCTCGAGGTCCTCTGCCAGCATCTCGTCTGTCACCTTGTTCAGATCATAGGCGGTGATAGGTTTCGTCCCAATGGCGAAGACGCCGTCTTTGACAACCACGTCACGACCCAGCTTCTCCTGCAAAAAGAGCATCCCCGACTGTGATATTTAACAACTTCACATTGTTTTGTTTCCTTGTTGTTTAAAGCAGCACTCAGCAACATTCCAGCTCAACCCAAATGATTGATATTATGAGCATCGACCCACGCCATCACATGCAGTCACGTATATCTAATATTGGTGTATATCCAGTTACATATTTTAATATGAGTGAGCGAGTGAATGAGTTGGGTTTAACGCCGCTTTTAACAGTATTCCAGTTATATCACGGCGTGTCAGCTTAATGTGGGAGGAAAGCCTGAAGTGATGCAGGTCTAAGACGTTTACCACTTCAGTGAAACCCACGAGAACGGGTATGGTGCTGACAAACCTAGAAACATAATCGGGGCGAACTGGGATTCGAACCCACAATCATAGGTTTCTCGCGTGCCCAAGGGACGTAACTCTGCACAGCGAATCGCGGCGCCCTAGACGACTGGGACACCCGTGCCCCCTATTTTAATATGAGAGGCTCTGGCTGTGTGCGTGGCATACATTCTAACAATGTAAAAACTTCGTAACGTGACGTCACAGATGACCTTTTAGGGTACACCGGGTGATGCCAATGTGAAGATAATTGGGATGTGTTTTTGAAATGTGTCGTTTGATGTTTTACAATTTTAGCCAAGCAATAACTTTGGGAAATAAATCATGGCTCCACAAGAGAGTCGGTTTTTAGTTTCAAACAGTCGACAACGGGCGAAAGCCACTTTTAAACACAACGTTGTCAAACACACGGCATTGTTTCATTCATTTCACCACATTTTATTAGATTACCTCTCCGTATAGGTTTTGCAGCTGAGTATAATTATCTTAGAGCAATACAAACATAGGTACCAGGAGACTTGCTTCCTGTATGGAGCCGGCTTCAGAACTCTAGGTACGTTTCAAGGGTAAACAAGGTCACAGAGAAATTGACACTGAATAATCATCAAACGCTGTTTCACATATATTCAACTAAAATGCCTGTTGTACAAAGCCATCTCCTGCGCCGTACAAAGTAGTTGGTATTCATATATATGATAGGATTTGGCATCTGAGCCGTCCGTTCGACAGAGTGCTGTAATCTTTATACAACCAGCTGGTCAATATTGATGGTGAATTAAGATGGGTGATGACCCCAGGGACGGAAGAGATCACTTGAGATTCAACCAAAGTCAAACAACCTTCCAACTTAAGGGAGGTAATCGAATAAATGTCATTTAGTTAGCGATGGCGTTCGAAGTCGCGGAGGATTTCGTGGTCTTCATCAGCTGGATGTCGGTGCTGGACAAGCAAGCTGCCAGTCTGGGGATGCTAAGAATTTAGAAAACAGGTTTGGGTAGGTTCCAGACGCCATAACATCATGTTTAATTCCCTATTTATTCCCAAACTGATTGTGTTAACATACCATTGACTAAATATTTGAGACGGGCGATCCGTTTGCATTGTTTTGGGATTTGGAAATGGAATCCGGTTTTGGTGGGTTTCGGTTGCTTTCTCATACGAAGGATTTAGCAAATATGTTTACATCATACAAAGGTTGTTTTGGCATTAGATAGATGATATATAACTGCAGAAAAGGACAATAGATAAGACCTTACGCAAATACCAACACGCAAAAGGGTAACCGTTATATTTGTATTGATCATGTCAAGAGTTATTCTTGCTACACTGCAGTCGTTTGGTTTGTTGGGATACACTGCTGGACAAAAGAAAGTATACACCCATGTTTGTAAGGGGATAAAACAGGACTGGTTGGCTGAGAGTCAGTATACTGTGTCTGAGTCGGATACCCATGTTAAACCGCGGTATGGTATCTCAGTGAGCCAGCACTATACTACAGGCATAAGTCCGGACTAGTATAAGCAGATACACGCACGCAAGTACACACGCAAGCACGCACGCACATCCACACGCACATCGTTTTAGATAGATAAGTGCAATGTTCTTAAACGCATCGTTAACACTATCTCACCTCCCCTCACCTCGACGCGAGTGGGACCTGGATCATTGTACCCCGAATGTTGAAAGTTGCTCACACTATCAACCACTGGTTTTATTTATGTTTCGTTATCAGCAGTGTTGATTTTGGTGCTAAATAGCACTCAGCCACTTGTTACATCGAGACATAGGCGTCATGTGATATATGATCGGCAAAAGAAAATGTTCGAAAAAGGATTTCATTCGAGACAAACATTTTTTAAAAGCTCATGTACATGCGGTGAGTGAGTGAGTGAATACGGTTTTACGCCGCTTCCAGAAAAAATCGCCACAGGAGGCACCAGATGTGGGCTTCAAACATTGTACCCATTTAGGAAATTTAGGCCACTATGCTACCTCACAGGGTGAGTGAGTGAGTGAGTGAGTGAGTGAGTGAGTGAGCATAGTTTTACGCCGCTTTTAGGAACATTTCAGCACTGTCGGTAGTACAACGAGGCAGCAATTCTCAAATAGTTTAGAAACACAACCCAACCAGATAAAAAAAGTGTTTGCTTTAACATGATAACGAGGCTAAACATTGATTGATGATGCCAACAACCTCAGATAATTCCTTCCGTAATCGAAGCTCAAACGAATTACCGACCTTCACCTCTTGTCGTCCAACAACAAAATATCAGCAATACATCCAGGAGGAATCTGAAGCTAAATTATGCAAATAATGGATTTGGCATACGCTGCCAAATAAACACATTGACACGAACAGTGCAAATATTTTATATCCTGTGAATTAATTTCTTAATTTCACCTTCAACTGTTTGACTATTTCGTCCGTTGAAAGTTTCGGATCAATTCCTAGCCGGCGCAAAACTGCACTGGAAATTCTTTTCAGGTCAATTTCTTCACCGGCCTTGACCCTCAGTTTCCCATCTTCCCCAATTTCAAAAACGCCAAGGTCACCTGGAAGAAACGAGTGTTGGTGGTCATTCAATCGCGAAGCAGGTTAGAAAGTGATTGTGTACAACTATCTATGCTTGCTAGCTTATCTAAACATTATCCTATAATAGCTGTTCCTTCTGATTTACCTATTCAAAATATAACTTGGGTGAGTTCGCGCCTCCTTTACAAATAGTTGCTACCTCTAGTTAACCTTTTCAAAATATAACTTGGGTGAGTTTGTGCCTCCTTTACAAATAGTTGTTCCTTCTGATTTATCTATTTATACTTCAAAAATTCCAAAACCTGCGCCTTGTTAGAAAGCCGTTTGAGCATTTGCGAAACACGAAACGACCGTCGTAGGTGACTCACTAGTAACACTATTCCTCACTGACAGATTTATGTGTTTCTTTACCCCAATAATCCAACTTGTACCACCAATGTGTAAATTAGTATCGTGAGAATTACATACTTAGTTTTGTGTTTTTCCCCCATTTATTTGGTGATAACTTGTTAACGGTCATATATTGCTAATCCACACAACGATATTTGACATTTCTTTAAGATGTGTGGTTTGTTAATGACCACCGTTTCTCCTTACCCAGTTGACTGTCGCGACCTTGGTCCTCTTCAGGCTCAACTGGAATGATAAATCTAGTCGTAGAACGCATCACCATCATGATTAAAAACACAATAAGGCAACAAGATATTGAAAAGAGGCAAAAAGTGTAAAGTAAACCTCATAAAATGTGATAGTGTTTCTTTGAAGCTAATAACACGAAGTAGTCTGTTTCATGTTCCTGGTACGCGGTAATATCACCACGATGTGGTTAAAAACCCATTGTCCGATCCCAAGAAGTTTCAGAAGGAGTGAAACCAATATTTCTATACACCACGGAATAACAGTATCGGCCATGCCTGAATGCCATGAGGCAAACGTGGTCGTTTCTTAACGCCTTTTCCCATTTAGTTTTGGTACCGAGTGTCGAGCCGCAAACAGAAAATTAATTACCTCATAAGAAGAAAAACACGATGAATAATATCAGTGGATCAGACCAGAGCGTTGTCTGGTTAAAGTTCATCACTGCGTTGTCGTGAGATCAATATTAGTCATTTAAGTTTTTCCAATTCGCTCCAGGCGCATCGACACCCTATTGATAAAATCGCCGCACATCAACAACTCATTACTAGGCTTTGATAAATAGGAATGCGTGTTTTAAAACTTGTATTATGCGGGACAGTCGTTGGTTTGATGTTTTCTGATCGGCGAAGGCACTGGTAAGGAACAGAGGTGTGAAGGTCTTTGATCTTACCTTCATCCGGGTTCTCGAGGAAACTGACGCGGTGCTGGAACAGACAGATGATTATTTGGTTTTACTCTACATCACCCTTACGCTTGGAGCTGAGAGATGCTGGACGCATTAAACGACACGTTGTGATATTACGAGGAAAATATTGATCTTAAATACGGTTGAGTTCCCTTTCTTCTCTTATCTGTCTTTTTTCTTGGCAAATTATTCCTAAGTTCAGTGTTCTGATATTGTTAATAACGCATAAGAAAAACTCATTTCGTTAAATTCAATTTCCACGGTGTGGGTTGAGTTTAAATAGTACAAATGTCCTCAAAAAGAATGTTTTTGTAATGGGCCGCTGCACTAGAAAGAGAGGGTTTCTTACAAATCTAAATAGATCCTGCCAAATTACAAAATGACATTTACAGACTGGATAAAAACTGCCAGAGCTACATGTATGAAGACTAAATTCAATGCCGCGTGTTGCCGTGGAAAACATTAGGCTTATTACATTCTAGAGAGTCAAAGGATAAATTGCTCGGAAGGAGTAATAAAAACGGATGATGAAACTTTTGATTTCCATGGTTACGTTAAAAAAGATGATAGTTGTGTATTCGTGGTTTTCTTCATGTGTTTTATAAACATAAATGCGGAGGTAGCTGGTTTACGAAGTTAGCAAAAATGTCTGCCACATACCCTTGGACAAGTTACTTCGAAATATGTCTCTGTTCATCAAGCAGTGAATGGGTACCCGGTAGGAAAAGGTAGTAGTGTGACTATAGCCTATTACCTCATGAGGCTGCCTGGTTTGTGTATTCACTGGGGAGTTGAGAATGAAATTCGCTTGCACACTGATCCACTGACCGATAATGTAGCGATGTGCGCATGCACCAGTGACTAGATTTCATGTATCTCAAGAGGGGCGGTCGGGTAGCCTAGTGGTTAAAGCGTTCGCTCGTCACGCCGAAGACCAGGGTTCGATTCCCGACATGGGTACAATGTGTGAAGCCCATTTCTGGTGTCCCCCGCCGTGATATTGCTGGAATATTGCTAATAGCGGCGTAAAACCATACTTACTCACTCATGTATAAAAAATGTCTATCACGAAAAATCCATTTTCTGAGCCATTGGGTACTTATTCCCATGTTATCATGGACGTCATAGTTTTCTTTGGGTATTCAATATATTTATTTTCCTTTTATCTAGTATATTGGGTAATTCTAACCAATAATAATCATTTTTTATAATCATTTTGCTCAAAATACTGGTTGAGGTGGCACTCTGTGCTTAATTGTAGACGTGATACCTGTATTCGATCAGCAAATAAAAAGAACATATAGACAACCGAAAAGGCTACTTTGGGTAGTTACGAAGAGTGTTGGTTTACTATTGGGATTGTGACATTTTTCATGCGTATTTGAACGCAAGAAACTCAAAATTATTTGGGCCATACCGATTTATTTTGCGTATTGTTTTCGCAAATACACAGATTCTCTGGCATATAATAGCGAGGGCAGAAGAATTGGCTACCACACATTGTAGCCAATGGGAATCGAACCCGGATCGTCAGCCTGACGAGTTAACGCTTTAATCACCTAGTTACCGACATTTGCAATGTGGCTATTGTGATAGTTGTGTGGGTGTTGGTACTGGGAGATTTAGGGCTGTGTAGATAGTGTGAATAGCAAGAAGTTAGCCGTTAGTTACCCCTTGTGCTGCTCGACTCTGTCGTCTCACATCTGAAATGAGAGAACAGTACAAAATATTGATTTTTCAAGATACAACTTGGTGGAGTTTTGAGCCTTCTTTACAAACATTTTCTCCTTGTGAATTAATCTATTCATCCAGAGACCCCAGTGCAGGTGTCATGTCAGAATGCCGTTTGAACATTCACAAATCTTGACGGAAGACATACTGTCTTCATGTTTGTTGTTTAACGCCGCACTCAGCAATATTACGGCTATGTGACGGCGGTCTGTGAATAACAACAATCCAGTGATTGACATCATGACCATCGATCTACGCGAGTCTAACCACCCGATCCTGTTAATCGCCTCTTTCGACAAGCATGGGTTGCATAAGACTACCCCGGATCTACGGGGTGTTGTGGCCGGTAAAGAATAAAACCCAGGTCTTTCGCCTGACAAGCGAAGCCATTAACTTCTCGGCCACACCATCGCTCCAACTTAGGGGTAATACACTGAAAATCGACCAAGTGTTTACATGGTATCTAACAGTGTTGCTAACTGTATAGATTTTACCTTTGTCATCGCCTATATTCAACTTTATAGAAGGCATCTTCGAAGGCTTGAACTCGAAATTAAACCCCTCATCTGCAGAGAAAATATGTAATGTTATTATTATCACCTTCAACCATTTACCATATAGTGACAAGAAACAGAAGCACAATTATTTCATTCAGATGGTATTACAACTCTCAAATTCGTTGGCGGCTCCCCTATGTCTGGTAAGCACTGTGTCTGTACGTACGCATCTAACACAGGAAAATAGATTTTGGCTTTAATGCACACACATCTGCACGCGCATAATCAAATATTACCGTCTATTATTGTTCCCTAGGTTTGCAAACTTTAAGCTGAAAACGTTTAAACTTTAAAAAATGTATCATTTGATAGAGCAACATGGTGTGGGATCATATATCTCACCTCGGCTTTTCCTCGGCATGTCTCGGGCTCTCGGCGTCTTTTTTGTCCAACTGGAACATACAGTTGCGTGTTTAACATGGAAGTACCATATGAAATGGTGATATGAAACACATCCTACAAGAAGTAGATCCACAAATTACCAATATCTAGCTAGGAGACAAATTCGATCAAAGCGTTTATGGGGAGTGAGTATCTTTTTACGCCGCTTTTGGCAATATTCCAGCAATATCACGGCGCGAACACTTAAACCACTAGGCTTCCCGACGCCCCAAAAGCGTTTAGGGAGAAACAAAGCCGTGTAAATTCATCATAATAACAGTGGTAATAATTTATACATTGTTCGTGGATAGCCAAGGTCATTTAGGCGTCCATAATTCTTGGATCAGTGATAATATGAAAATGATCCATATAGTTTTACTTATAATTGAACGCCTACTTTACTATCTGATTTGTTTGTTTGTTATTTAACGCCGCACTCAGCAATATTCCAGCTATATGACGACGGTCTGTAAATAATCGAGTCTGGACCAGACAATCCAGTGATTGAAATCATGAGCATCGATCCACGAAATTGGGATACGATGGCATGCATCAACCAAGCCTGACCACCCAATCCGGTCAGTCGCCTCTTACGACACGTATAGTCGCCTTTTACCTTTACTTTCTGAAACACGCAGGCACAGACTTTAACAAATGTACATGAAGGATGTTGTGGTATGAGTAAGCGCAGCATCCTATATAACATGTTATAACATTAATGGGACTGTGTTCTGCAATCCGATTGGTAGAAACATGAGTGTTTGGGATTGGATCCAAGAAATCTTTCGAACATTTGAAAAATCTCTCGTCATTTGACTTTGGATTTGACATTCATTGCACATTAAATTCGATCACAATTTATTTGAACAACATTATTTGTTGGGTTATTGTCCACATACTGACGAGGCGGATTTGATACATGGAAGTATGCATGGCGTCTGAACAATCCAGCCTGAAGTCATAGCTTTCCAGAGTGACGCCATGTCAGTCTCAAAACTGTGAACGTTCACGAAGAGAGATAATGTTTACCAATTATATTGATAACCTTTTCATTTTAATTAAATATTGTTTTTTTGCTAACACAGTCGGTTTCAAATAAAATTAAACACTCGATAATTTGAAAAACACAACGTGTATCAGCAGCCGTCTCGAACTCACTTTGAATGGGAAGGTCCAATGTCTCTGGCATCGGTCTTCTCGATGGTGCCGCCAACTTCCCTGGCAGGTCCTCGCTCATAAGACACCATACTCTTCGGTTTTTGCCTGGCCTTGGACTGGAGTGTTGATAGGTCTCTGATAGGCCCGCTGGTACCTCTTCCTTTTGCAGTCTCAGATGCGTCTTCTGCTGCTGCTTCAGCCGCCGCTGCCGCTGCTGCTACTGCGGCGGCTTCTGCTTTGGCTCTAGTTTCAGCCTCTCTTTGTCTGATAATGAAATGTTTATCGTGTGGCAACATGTTGGTATTTTGTATTTCAGTCTCAAATTATAAAAACATGATCCTACGTTGTAAGCAAAAATGTCAGAACCTTTTGGTGTAATGTTTGCGTGGTGTACAGCAACAGTTGTATGGTGGCGGCCTGTAAATGACGACAAACCAGTGACTAATGTCATGAACAACGTCCCAACGAGCCTGACCACCCGATCCTTTCACGACAAGCATACGTCGCTTTGGACCTATTCTAATTGGGAATCCCCATTTCATGTAATGCCATTACAATGTTATATTGGTATATTGGTGTAATGGTATTGACATGTTAAAACAATCAGCCAGTCAGATATAAGGCGAAGTGACGAAGATCGTTGTCGTGTTTGCGCATGGGCACGGCGCTAGCAGATCAGGGATAAAAGACATTGCGATTGTGGTATTCGAACACACAATCAGCATATCATTGGATGACTAAGGCACATCGAATTATGGCATCTGAGATCATAAGATCATAAGGCCTCACGTTTGAACAGCCATTTCTATTGGAAACGTGTATTTGAAATTGACGTACAGACGTATATTCGTCACTAATCCTTCTTATGCTACTTACGCGTGGGGATTCTGGGTTAGAATTGGCCCCTAGCTACCTGTTCTGGTCGAAAGAGGCGATTTAATCAGTAAGACTTGGTGCCTTGGTTGATGGAGTGTCAACGTACTCCTTTGGCGTTGATCGTTGCTCATTATATCAATCACTGGATTGTCTGGTCTCCGTTATTCACAGGTCGCCATCATACAGCTAGAATATTGCTGATTGCGGTGTTAAACAACACCCCCAACAGACGCACGCGTTTTATGTTAGAATTCAAGTCCTTCATTGTCGTTCTGTCTATAAAATAACAACTTATTGAAGCTAATAAATGAAAAGACAAAGATTCCTACTCTCTCTTCTTTCTTTTCATCTCGTCATATTTGTCTCCGAACTTCTCCCTCATCCTCTTCTCTCTCTCCTGTCGCCTCTTCTCCCTCGCCTCCAAGTACTCCTTCCTCTCTTCCTCCGTCATGGCCGACAGGTCCGGCTCTTCTTCCGAGGAGTCGCTGAAATAATCATCCTCCTCAATCCCACCCAGGGACGACCTCCTCCGTGACCGTGGACCAGCGGTTGGCATGTCCAGTCCATGCACGTCAAGGCCGTTACTCTCCGCTTGTTCTGACGTCTTCTGAAATTGCCTCTGCTTTAACGGAAGGCCTTCCATGGCCTCCTCGATCCAGGCCCCTCGCTTGCCCGGGACGTCGCCTTGTTTTTGCAGCCCCGGACGTCGGAGGGGCCTCTCTATCATTCTCTGAAGACGACGGAGATCCTTCTTTCCACGAGCGGTCTCTGTCAGATAGCTGGAATAACATGAGTGAGTGAGTATTTTCACGCCAGTTTGATTACTATTTGAGCCAAATCACGGCGGGGTTTGCCAAGTCTCGATCAGGTGAAGTTTTGTTTGCTTAACGCCGTACATAGCGACGTACATGTGTGTGTGCGTGCGTGCGTGCGTGTTGTGCGTGTTGTGCGTGTTGTGCGTGTGTGTGTCTGCTTGTACTAGTCCCGACAAACGCCGGTTATTAAGTGCTTGCTCTCTGAGATACCGTGCCGCAGTTTATCATGTATATCTCACAAATTCACAGCATACACAGTATCAGCCTTGCGTCGTCATTAAGGAACTGAAACGAGGACTGGTCGGCTCGGCGTCAGTATACTGTGTCTGAATGGGGTATCGTATCTCAGTTGGCTGTCACTATTAAACCGCCATAACCGTTATCACACACACACACACACGTACATGCACCTCGCCATGTTAGTGCAATAATCTTGAACGCAACGTTAAACCCAACTTCACCTCATCATTTAATGCATCGGTCAATATGAGGATTGAAGTTGTATTTGTTGACGTTCATCAGCTGATGCAGACAATGCCGCACGTGAGAAAATTCAGTGATACGCGAAGCACTTCATGGTAAATTAAGCACGTGAGGCACTGTCTTGATACGCGAAGCGCTTCACGGAAAATGTATTCACGCTGATGAACGTCTACAATTACAATTCAATACATATATTGACCGATACATAAATCAGTACAAAACAATCCATGTTAACCCCAATTTTAATTATTTTAAGCGAACTATATTAATGCGGAGAGTTGTTTATGTAGTGATGTCATCCGTCCCAAACATTCAGTGGGAGTTCTTTCCCTTTGTTTTACAAAAGTCATAAAATGGCGGCTTCAACAATGTCATTCATTAAAAATAGTAGTTGCAACAAGTAAACTTAGAATTGACAAAAAATGCAGACCTGGTTGATTCTGAAATTGGATTAATATAAACGTTCTGTGAACTTTGAGTTTATGTTTGAGTCATACTACGGCTTGGGGCGACGCGGAGAGAATACCTGAGTAGAGTGGAACTTAGTAAATTTATTTTGGTAAGTAGAGTATTCTCTGTTGTAACTTCGAACGTACGTTTCAGTTTGGTGACCCGACGTATAATGATCTGTCTGTCTTCAAAACCTTCACGATAGCCTGATTCGTATGACGATACCGTCCATATTTGACGTTATGTTTAGACGTTGAGGAATTTCCCGAAAGTAGTTCTGTATGTCTCCGCTCGATTGACAACGTAATCACGTGACATACTGACGTTAATCGGGAAATAAACTACAGTCAGCTTGGTAGTGTTCATCTCGGCGAGGTCACACGCTACTGTCAATATTAAGTTATATGTGCTCTTTAGGTTTACATGTTATATATGCTTCAAATTCCGCGTGGTCATTTAGATGATATAGCAAATACAATTCTGAAAAAGAACCATGCGACAATGACAATATTTAAACTCTTACCGCGCATGTGTTAAAAATTCGTGATTGTGCATCGTCTCCTGGAATAGATAAACTTTTAGGAAAACGAATCATGCTGGTTATTTAATTAGCATTGTAATTTGATTTTACTAACATCGCATTAGTGTACTTTTGTTTCAGTGGGATTTTATCGATAACCCCGGTTCTTAAAGGTCGCCGTTTCCGAATCACATTGTCTCACACCAGACTTCTCGACTCCGCATTTAACGCGGTTGTTGCGTCAGGCACGTACATCTGGGAATGATTAACACGTATACTTACTCGTCATCCGATATAGAACCTGAAACACATCGAAGGACACACAATTACATGACTGGCTAGATTTCTTTGTGGGTTATTTTTTCCATTTCGATTCGCAAATTTAGTTTGTACCTTTTATCCTGATTGTATCTCATTTCAGGATGTTTTTTAACATACATGAAGGCAAAACTGATACATTCTAAATTTCACTGTACGATTTCGGGTCCTGTCAGCTCTTGATAATAATAATAATAATAATAATCATAATGATTATGATAAGGACGATGATACTGTTACTACAACAACTACTACTACTACCACCAACAACATTAATTAAAATATTCAAAATAATACTTATATAATAATACTAATATAATAATACTAATATAATACTACTACTACTACTACTACTACTAATAATAATAAAAATAAAATAAATAAAATAAATAATAATAACAACAACAATACTAATCATAATAATAATTCATGATGATAATCATTAATGCTTTATATTTTCAAACAATTTCGGTTGATTCCATCTCGCACCGCCATAGATGTTTTAACAAATTGAGGACATAAATTTGGTCAGCTGTGGTAACCCTCTCACCTCGCCTTATTCTGACTGACTCCTCGTCGCTTTCCCCAGGGGACATGTAGAGTTCAGGGGAGCCGAAGCCGATGACGTTACCGTCATCGTCACGTAAAACCTTCCGCCTGTAACGTCTCCGCGTTCCCCCTTCACTGACGTCACTGTGAACGGAATATACAGGAGATGTGTTCCCTTCCGCCTGGAGCTTCATATTTTGGCAGTCAGGGGAGGATCCCGTATGCTGCTCGGTCTCGAGGTCGTCTGCGATGTCTTTCCGTTTCTTCTTCCAGTGCCTCTTTTTACTCCCTTCAATGTCCTCGCCGAGTATTTCCTTTGCTTTCTTAACGTCCTCGTAATGTTCTAACATGTCCTCGTCACATGACTCACTGTCGCTGTAAGTGCCGTCCTCGTGACGTTTCCGGCGTTTCACGTGACGTGTCCCGCCATCACTCACATAAGAGTAGTAACTGTGAGCACTATTTAATATTTCTCGCGCTCGTTCAGTTTCCTCTTCCATTCTTTGTTCTTGCTCCTCTCTTAGTACTCGTCGTTGCATTCGTCGTTCTTTTCCTTTCAAATCCTGGAATAAATAAAAAACAGATTTTTCTCAACATCTGCATGCCAATATCGTGTCATGAAATTAGTATATGATGCATCAATAACCGTAGAGATCCCATGGGGATTCCGGGTTTTAATTGGGGTCTGGCCCCTGAAGATCCGGGGTAGAATAGGTCTTCAGCAACCCATGCCTGCCGTAAAAGGCGACTATGATTGTCGTAAGAGGCGACTAACGGGGTCGGGTGGTCAGGCTGGCTGACTTAATATATGGTCATCGGGTGGTCAGTTTCAGTGGTCAGTTGCGTGCATCGTACCCCAACGGCGTTCATAATATTAGTCTCTGGTTTCTCTGATCAAGGCAAGATTGTTTACAAAGCGCCACCATAATGGTATACAGCTGAGATACCGTTGGCCGCGGCGATATCCAACCAAATTAACATTTTGCACGATATGTCGATATTTTTCAGAGATTATGCCAAGACAGGAATCGAGGATCGACCCGTGAAGATCCGGGGTAGAATAGGTCTTCAGCAACCCATGCATGCCGCATGTCGTGAGAGGCGACTAAGGGGGGCGGGTGGTCAGGCTCGCTGAATTGGTTGACGCATTTCATTGTATCCCGATTGCATAGATCGATGCTCATGATATCAACCACTGGTTGTCTGGTCCAGACTCAATTATTTACACACCGTCGTCACATAGCTTGAATATTGCTGAGTGCGGCGTTAACAACAAATAAACAAACAAACAAACAAAACTGAGGATCGGCACATACACAGACATCTCCCTCCCTGGATCAAGCCTACAGGGTTGTGGTTTGTGACTCCAGACACGTGAAGATCCGGGTTACAATTTCTCCAGCGACACATCCTTGTCGTAAAAGGCGACTATGCTTGTCGTAAGAGGCGACTAACGGGATCGGGTGGTCAGACTCGCTGACCTGGTTGATGCATGTCATCGATCCCAATTGATGGATATGATGATGTCAATCACTGGATTGTCTGGTCCAGACTCCATTTTGTACACACCACCGTCATTTAACAACCACACAAACAAACACAAGACTCTTTGCTATAGTTAAGATACAACTGAATCATGGTCTAACATAGGACTGTGGTAGACGCTAACAGGCTGTAGGCTTATCAGGAGATGTCCCATTAGCGCCCATATTTCCTACTTGACAATACAGGACCGGTAACGTGTTTGATACTGAAGAACCATTACGATCCCCAGGACTTTCACCAAGTTAGTGAACCACCATTGAAACCATTATGCTGACGTCATGCCATTGTTGATGCAGTTGATACTGAGACATTAATCGTCCATGCTATACGTGCATTTTTAGAAGTAAACCTGGCGCAATTATAGGTCATTATGAAAACTTATAGTGGAATTATATATCAACCGTAACGTGGTTTAAGATGGAGAAATCACTCGAATGTCTTGGTTTCGGATATAAAAACAACTTCCCTCCCCTCCCCATCCCACCCTCCCCCCTCCCGCCACACCCACGCCCACAGACCCCGGCTCGTTAATTCTACTTCCGGTATTAACAGATTCGAGTGAACTCTTCAATACTTTAACATTTTAATATTGGGGGTTGGGTGTGGGGGTGGGGGTGGGGTGTGGGAGTGGGGTGTGGGGGTGGGTGGTCAGCTGTGTTTCTCACACTGCTTCAAAACACAAAATTACATTCTGTGAAAGGATGAACAATTACTTGTTTTGTACAGCTCATTTTGTCCGCGACATCTCAGGCATTTCAAACGGACAATTTATTACATGAGGACAAAAACATAATTCTGAAACATTTTTTTTTCAAAAGAACCAATCACACGTCCATTTCCTCTTTCATTAATGGGGGGCATGGGTGCCCAGTCGTCTAAGGCGCCGCGATTCGCTGTGCAGGGATTAGTGCCTTAGGCTCGCCAGAAACCTATGATTGTGGGTTCGAATCCCGGTTCGCCCCGATTATGTTCCTAGGTTTGTCAGCACCATACCTGTGATTGTGGGTTTCACCGAAGTGGTAAAAGTCTAAGACCTGCATCACTTGGGGCTTTCCTCCCACATTAAGCTGACACGCCGTGCTATGTTTGGAATACTGTACTCACTCACTCACTCTTTCATTAATGCCATCTGCGATGTAAATCACGAATATTACCTTCTCGCTGTCATAGGATTCACTGTCGCTATAGTTTCCATCGGATCGTCGTCGACGTCGTCGTACATGACGTGTCCCACCTGGAGTGTAGATACTGCGATAACTGTAAGCGCTGTCGCTGCCGGAGTTGCGTCCCCCTGACTTGTACTTTGCCAACTGTTCTTTAGTCATGTTAGGACCTTCCGGCGTTCTTAAACCACGGACGTTCTTGGAAACTCCAGCGGTGTTCTTCTTTCCTACCTTCACGTCCCTGCTGTCGCGCCTAGCCTTGCTGTCTCGCCTGGCTTCTTTACTGGAAGAGCAAGTGGATGAGTTTGGTTTAACGCCACTATGAACTACATTTCAAATATATCACAGCTATATGACGGCGGTCTGTAAATAATCGAGTCTGGACCAGACAATCCAGTGCTTGACATCAAGCCCTATTTATACGACGCGGGTCTTTCACGTTTTATTTCTTGGTGTTAAAAGTGTTGAAAGGGAAAATAAAGACTTCAATAACTATTTTGGCGTAGGCAGAAGGGTACTGTTATCGCTTGTCGAACTTAAGACATGTGTTCGATTCCATGGTTACATTTTGTGATCATCATGCTGGTGCCTCACGTTGAATAAAAAAACGTTGAAAGTTTATGACACAAATTGAAATGCGAGAACAACGTTTGAAAACATTCCTAAATGCAAATATTGTTTATATACCTTTTACACAAAAACATTCTCTACAATGAAACCCCATTACTCCGGACGGCGCTTTATCGAGTAAAATCGTCCGGATTATCAAATGTCCGGATTAGCGTATCGCAGTTAGGAGAAATGTCAGTAATTGTATAGGGCGTTTTCTGAAAGCCCTCCGTAAGGAGAGTCTCCGGATTAACGAGGTTGAAATGTATACGAAACCTACGTTTTAAGCAACTTCCCCTTCTTCAGGTTTCGGCGCTCATTGTCCTCCACTGTGAAAAAAACAGAAAACCGTTATTATTTCTTTCTTTTTCCTTGGGGCGGAGGAGGGTACACCGACAATGACACCTTAGCCATCATTGTCATATCAAAGCTTTTAAGAGTATTTTGATATAACCCCTGTAGCTCCAAGCTCGTGCTGGTTGTGGGTTGTTATAAAAGCGGAGTTCGATTCCATCAAATAGATCTGGCTTCAAATAAAGAAAGCCAGCTGATACCGTCAAGGTTATCAATTTGTTAGGTTTGGAATGACAGCTTCTCTGATGAAAATAATCCATCACGATACCATAGAAAATTAATCCTTTGAACTCTGAAAAGCATTACAAACATAATGTAAAGGAATGTACAATATTTCATCTACACGTTAAAAGCTTTGACAAAATAAGGTAAAACCGCCCGCAAAATGGGAAGTACAATCTGAGTCGAAAATAAGCTATCATTCTTGTAAATGAAAAAACAGTCGACGTTATTTTATTTACAGTCTTACTCGTTTAGATTTGTTGTGAATCGAAGTCATAAAAAGACGTCCCATAAGACTGATGAGCTGGGTCGTTCCCTTTAAGTCAAGAAGATGCTGAGGTGTGCTGCATCTCTCCATCCCACGGTGGCTGATTACACAGGTTATACTGATGTGAAGGGTACGTCGAAAACACTTCATTTTACACAAACTATGTCATCTACATATCAAAAGCACACATCCAGTAAAAAAGTATAAAAAAACACCGTCTTTTGGGCATCGCACGTCTACACGCAGACATTGTCGGAAAAGCCTTTATAGTGCCTATTCACAAGATGTAATATCAAATAAAACGAATAGAGGAACATTACTTCACAAGAAAAATGCATAATAGTTTTTTTATGTAAATATTGCAACAGTCTGTATGCTTCATACATATTTTTCATCATGTGCGTGAACGTTCTTGTGTGTGCTGATGGGCCGATAACACTGCTCTTGTGGGTATGTCTCCGATACGAGATCAATCAAATTTAATCAGTTCCCCGATTGTAACTTATCGCTTGATTGATCATGCATTCAACAACCTCTTCCTCTAAAACATTTAATTCTGATTCACACCGTCAAGTGCTTTTTATTCAATTATGGACAGAAAATAATCTGAAATGTTCTCTTATGAACAGCTTCAAAAAGCTGATTACATTAAAGCGCTCATCTGCAAGGTGCGATTGTCCGGCTTGTATTAACGTTGAAATACCAGCGGTTATATCACACAATAGAAGATAATACAACTGCGGACGGCGCGTTTCTTATCAATGTAATATTCTTGCGCGTCAGAGTAATAGTGATGTCTAGAGCTCCTATTTGAACGCATCGAGACTCATAAACTTGCGACTCCTTTTCCTGTAATTTAGAAATGTGTGAGGGACTATTGAATTGATTGCCATTAATCTCCGCCGAGCTAGTACAACCACTATGATATACAGTGAAAATGGCAGCTTATAATGGAACCACTTCGGAGTGCCTGGATTTAATTACATCTTTAATCGGCCAATCAAATGGTAAGTAATCGATAACAGGCAATAAATTCTCGTCTAATCGAAGTCATCGCCTCCGCGCTGTGTCTTCTCGTTGTAAATCTCTACCTAAGCGGGACAATAATGCGTTAATGCGTCTGCGCTAATCGGACTCAGCGCCATCTAGGCGGTCTAAGGGGAATAACTCTTACAACACGTTGCATAGGCCGATGGTTTCTGCAGCCATTAAACTGATTGATTGAGCTCATGATAAGATTGTCATCACATACGTTAATGACTCTCATGTTGAGAAAATAAAAACAGTCGTGGGTTGGAAAAAAGCCTAGTTAAAACAAAAACGCATGATTTGAACAAATATTGCAGCAGCATGCATCCAAATGAGCTCTTGACACTAATGGAGAGTTCAGTCTAAACATTGCCTCGTCTCTAGCTCTCTGTTTTCCCAATTGGAACTGATAACATTCAGTACGATGATTTTATTTCTTTATTTAAACTCGCTGGTCTCTGAGGCTAACATCGACAGAGGGCTGGGTGTTTGGAGTGATAACAGTTTCATCGACTCAACGCACTCGCCTTGAAACTATTAGAGAATAAAGCACTTTTCCTCGTTTCGTACATTCAAAACAAAACCGCGATGCTAAATAGCGTTGCTTTCGATTGATGTAATTACTAAACCAGTCGTGAGAATAACATGAGACAAACATCGCGAAGTTTGGAATTACCTACTATTTCTTTAATAAATAACCTTACCACAAGAATATTTGTCCATATGAGGGTTGTTAGTTGACACAATTATATTTTGAATGGTCGTTGATGTGTATTGATCTGAGGTCTTTGACGAAACTGTTCAATGTGCCTTATATAATATATATGTCATGCACGTGAGCGTTGCCATGGTAACAGTGAGCCACAACGTGACTTAAATCTCCGATTCGGTTTGTACGAAGCTCATGTTACATTTTTCATACCTTCATAACAGTTCAACTGAGATAATTAAACACAAATAATTTTGTATAATGTTATAGGGCAACTATTGTTCTGTTGTGGACAAACCTATTTATCCTGAACGTTGGATTCTGATTGGCTGAGACCCATTCTGTTATTTTCAACGTACCTAGCTAACGAGTGATGTACAATGTTCCCCGATAGAAAATCCAGTGTTGGCATTACATTTGCGACATACCAAGACTGAAGAGCAATTTCGTTTCTCGAATTAACGATGTAAGACGCCATTCTCGGGGCATTTACGATGTATTCCGAATGAAATAGATCTAGGGGGAATAACTCTAAGTTTCGTTTCTATCGCCCGCTAATGAACGGGGGTGACAGATGTCTAATCGTATTATTCTTACCGATTCGGAATAGAGTGTGCATGCATAAGACGTACTTGCAGTATCATAAGGTGTGCGGTTAGATACACTCCCCGATGGATTTTTAAAGGATACACTTACTCGATGTAAAGAGGACATCTCATGTTTAGTATAGTGTTCTATGATATGAGGAACACATGTTAATTTTCAAATTTGATATTTATAATATTCCCATTTTATTGAGACGAAAAAGAACATATGGATGGTATCTGCGCTTTTCATGAAAATATTAATTTTAGCAGGTCATGTGATTAGATAAGCATGAATTTGACAAGAATAGACATAAGTTCTATCTGTTATATATATATTGTAGCTGATCATAGTTGAAAACCAGTGTCTCTAATACAGTCAGAAGTCACTTCATAAAGTTTAATTACGTTAGAGATAAATCGAAGTTAATATTTAAATTGTATTGAGCCGAAAATGAAGAAATAGATGATATTTGCGCCATTCATGACAATATGAATGTTGTCAAATAATATAAATTTTATGTTTCTTGATAAGACGTGTTTCATCGTGAAAATCATATTAATAATTGCGTAAACGTGGAGGTCAAGGCCACGGTGTAAACAATACGAGACAACTGCATGTATATGTCTGTTTGATATTCGTGCGTTCAACATATATTATTATTATTAACTTATTACGTACCCTTGACTGTACATTATAATTGATGACATTTGTATGACAACTGGAGCAGTATTGACATAAGTCTGTTCTTGTTTACCAATCCAGTTCCACACATTCCGTGAAATAGATATGTTTCCTGGCGTCAGTTGTCCAGAGTTATACGATAATCTGCCGATGGTGTTTCAGTTTACTGAGTTCGATCATCATCTGACGCTATGCACAGACGTTCAACCTGTCTTATTCTGTTTTGCGTGAGTGCACGGGAGGCATGCATTCGTGAGCGAGTGTTTAAATGTGTAAGAAAGTGTGTACCCGTGAAGGCTTGCGACAGAACACGCGGTGGTGCTGAGGATGTTGTCGTGGTCACGGTCGCTGTTTACTCTCTGTACGTTCATTGCTGGTTAGTGTTTCCACAGCGTGGACTGTTATGCTAACTCCCAAAATGTGCGTCAAATTCTGATTATAAAGGTGACCATGTGGCGATGACGTGTTAAGTTGCTCATTGGTCGGGGGATAACAGCTCAGTAACATCAAGTCGTGGGATAACAGCTCAGTAACATCAAGTCGTTGGATAACAGCTCAGTAACATCAAGTCGTGGGATAACAGCTTAGTAACATCAAGTCGTGGGATAACAGCTCAGTAACATCAAGTCGTGGGATAACAGCTTAGTAACATCATGTCGTGGGATAACAGCTTAGTAACATCAAGTCGTGGGATAACAGCTCAGTAACATCAGGTCATGGGATAACAGCTCAGTAGCATCAGGTCATGGGAAACAGCTTAGTAACATCATGTCGTATGACAACAGCTCAAGAACATCAGGTCATGGGATAACAGCTGAGTAACATCAGGTCATGGGATAACAGCTTAGTAACATCATGTCTAGCGATAACAGTTCACTAACATCACGTGCGATAACAGCTCAGTAACATTAAGTCTTGCGATTACAGCTCAGTAACATCATGTCGTGCGACAACAGCTCAGAAACATCAGGTCGTGCGGGTGCATGGTGCGGTAACAGCTCAGTAACATCAGGTCATGCGATAACAGCTCAGTAACATCAGGTCATGCGATAACAGCTCAGTAACATCAGGTCATGGGATAACAGCTCAGTAACATCAGTTCGTGGGATAACAGCTCAGTAACATCAGGTCGTTCGATAACAGCTCAGAAACATCACGTGCGATAACAGCTCAGTAACATTAAGTCTTGCGATTACAGCTGAGTAACATCATGACGTGCGACAACAGCTCAGAAACATCAGGTGGTGCGGGTGCTTAGTGCGGTAACAGCTGAGTAACATCAGGTCATGCGATAACAGCTGAGTAACTTCAGGTCGTACTGGTGCTTGGTGCGACAACAGCTAAGTAACATCAGGTGCGATATCAACTCAGTAACATCAGGTCGTGCGACAACAGCTCAGTAACACCAGGTCGTGTGATGACAACTAAGTAACATCAGGTCGTGCAGGTGTTTGGTGAATGTTTGTGAGATCAATTGCAACAAACATGACTGACAAATACAATTAACTCCATTGAGTTACTGATGTTTATTCAAATCACGCTTTCAAACATTATGAAAAAACAAAAACAAATATTGGCACATTGGAACTGGACGGATAACTATCTAACTGGGTGTTGTTAACTTGCTATCACAGCTGTAGCTTGGAGATTAGTTACTATACGTGACGACGCTGCCACCTCAGTGCATTAGTTGAATGGATATATGAAGGGTAACAGTATTTAAAACAAACACACAACAGATCTATCTGCTGCCAATTAACAAACACAACCGAGGTATTTTATATTACCTGGTATATGGAATCATATACCCATCAATGAAATATGTTTTTATTTTCTTCCTGTGGGGTGTTTAAAACATTTAATAGGAAAAATAAAACAGCAGCGAAGTACCGTTTGTCTTCCTGTTCAAAGAACCACAACGAAAAACATACATTCGTCAATCAATTGATCGGTAAAATTCACATTACCGCTTGGCGTTAGGAAAGCTCTTTGGAAGAACGTGATAGTTTCATAACTTTGGCTTTATGAGAACAATTCTGAAACCAATTGATCAGAAAGGTCAAAGCAGACATTCAGCCACAGTGTGTATACATTATATGTATATGGTAGACTGCGAACGTAATAAAAACAGAGAAGATTGACCTATACAGCCTTGAACAGCGTAATAATAAGAAAGTGCATAGATTGTATTCAGTGATTAATTTCTTAACGAGAAGTATGAAGACGTCCTTGCTCTCATTTTGCTTAAGACCTTTACACTAATAACTTCTACACGCATTGATATTTTTGTCCATTTAAACACGAATTATGTTTTCAGAGATACGAAGGAGCACTTTAATATGCATAGCAAACTATAGGTCAGTTATTCCACACAGGTCTGAAACCGAAGTTCACTATATGATACGACAATATCTTACTCACACAAGAATATATAGAATTCAGATTCAACACGTTTGTGTTGTCTAGTGGCAAAGTATTAGCACCATTTTATACAGTTTCACGCATTTGATAATAGTAAAATAAATTAGACATTTTAGAATGTATGTACAAAACTAATAACTGTTAGGAAACATAATACACGTACGTAAACACCCCTTACTGAATATATTCGTGAGAGGTCAAAATCAAACTTAGGGAGTAAAGAGAAACCCCGTTTATCAGGACAGTATCGTTCTTAGTGAAATCCCCAGGAATGATAAAAATCAGAATAACTGAATCGTTGGTAGCAATGTCATATCATATCATCCCAAGCTGGCGTCCACGGGAGATATCGTTATAGTGGGATCAGGCGATAGCTCTTAGGAGATTTCCTTACAATGCGTTGCATCACACTGCTTTGCATACTATTGTGACGTCATGGGTTACCATCATGTAACTATCAAGTAGCATCATTCACCTCTGCCAAGATGGTTGACTTTACTTGTTACACTCAAGACACTGGTTATTACTGTTTACAAACTGAAAAGGTTGGAAGAATGGTTTTGGCAAGCTTCGGAGTTTTAACATTTTATCGTCTCGTGTTGATATATTTGATATCAAACGACACTCTGGTGGGATTCTCTATACGTAGAATTTCCCAATATTAATTGTTAGGAATTCGTAGAATGTCCGGAATTGTGAGGTTTCCGGACTAACCGTGTACGAAATTTTGAGGGTTCTCTGTGTAGCAATGTAGATTGTTAATTTCAAATGAATCTGCTCTCGGGAAATTAGAGATTGTTTTTTGGCAACCTTAATCTTCAAATGCCGATGATTAAAAATGCGTTCTCAATAGAATTGCATTCGCAAAAATGCCTGTTTATCATTTTCGATTATCTTGCTTCTTTTTTTCTTCAGGTTATTTAACATTCACGTGTTGGTTTTATCGGTCTAATTGAATCAATGACGCGCATCATCCGAGACTTGATGTCGACCTCGGCGTTGAAGGAGCGGACTCCAGTATCTTGGGTAATCTGAAATGACAAAGGTCAAGGTCATCATGATCACAAATCCGTTGACGTTAAAGCCTCGTGTGATATTTTAAATATGTAAATTTTTGACTAAATAGATTCAAAATTGAAAAATTATTATATCATAAATGTTCGTATGACCACGTATTGCAACTTCGCGCACTGTCCACTTAAAGATGCACATGTTCACGAGGACGTTTAGATCTTAAATATACTGTAAACACAATTCGAAATATTTTTAAAACATGAACATATTTTAGCCTCTACATGTGTTTAACTTGACATGTCACGTGTTAGGTTTTGTATTTAAGACCTAATCACATTACGTACAATGTAACCTTTGCCTTCCCAGAAACACAACAATTGATCGGACTGTCTATTGGCCTGTCTAGTGTCGCGGCGCTGGTTAAAGTCCACAGTCCACCGTCCACAGACATTAACAAAGTCTTTCATGTCAAACAACAAAGACCCACGGGCCCTTGGTCCGATCAAACAAGTGTGTAGGTATATATAATATAATGTAAAAATTCTCTTCCCGAGGCAAGGGAGTTAGCTGACTATAAAAGTCCAGTTTCCACCATTGCCGAACTAGGCTGGAATTATGGAGTAACATTTTGGCTGGACTAACGAGTCTATGCATAGACCAATCAAAATCACGTAACAATATCGTTGTATTCAGTCCAGATTCCAGACGATTGCAGAATTTGCAGAGCGTGTGTACCATCAACTGGGCTTCGACAGATATTTTCTAACTCTTTTCATGTTTTAAATCAAGGTGCTCAAGTGGTTTGATGCATTTTGCGAGGTGAGGTCCATTATTTTCAATACATATGATTATCGATCAGATCATTTTGACTTGGAGCCGCCATTTTGCAAGTGATATGAGAGGTGGAATCTAACTGGACAATAGGAGGGACTGGTGGCGCTACGATAGAGCCACGTAATTCAAGCCTAGTTCGGCTAGAGTTTAGACTGGGCTTTACCAGCCAGTTAACTCCATTTCCCCGTGCAGATGGTAGTAATTGTTAGTGGGAGCAAATGGCTCAACTATTAGAACGAAATATCATGGGGTTAGGGGGAGTGAATGCAGTAACATTAATTCTAGGACCTGCTACTTATTGCCGCTGCCACTCCTTGGACCCACTGTATTGTCTTTTTTTAAGTAACTTAAAACTCTGTATGTATGACTTACTATAATTTATTGATCATTCATTCATCTTGTGAGGTCATTTACTGATTTCATAATTCAGTTGGGGGCACGGGTGGCCCAGTCGTCTAAGGTGCCGCAGTTCGCTGTGCAGAGTTGCGTCCCCTGGGCACGCCAGAAACCTATGATTGTGGGTTCGAATCCCGGTTCGCCCCGATAATGTTTCTAGGTTTGTCAGCACCATACCCGTGCTCGTGGGTTTCACTGAAGTGGTAAACGTCTGAGACCTGCATCTCTTCGGGCTTTCCTCCCACATTAAGCTGACACGCCGCGATTTAGCTGGAATACTGTTAAAAGCGGCGTTAAACACAACTCACTCACTCACTCACTCACTCATAATTCAGTTCTATGAGAACCGATTTCGGGGTTAACCTCGGCGTTTCAATTTTGTAAATCGCCTCGTAACACAACACAAATCCCGTGTGTGATCAAACAACACGGCCCCATTGTCTGCTCAACCAACACAGACCCTTCTCTGATCAAACAACACAGACCCTTGGTCTCATCTGACGCAACACTACTTAAAGGGGCACCCTCACTATGGTAGGGACAATTGAAAATAACAGTCATGGAAAAATAAATTTACAGCAATCCATAAATGACAAATCTGAATTGATAACGATTGTTTTCGTTTGTACTGTTGATGATATGATTTGGCGAATAATACTTTCTACCCCTTATTCTACCCCTTACCAAAAAAGATCGTACCCATCACACAACTACTCTGGAAAATATTTCCTTCTAAAGTTTGTCATGGGCAGAATATATACCTACTATGTCTATCATTAGTTCAGAGCCTGTATTGAACCTTTTGCAAACAAATGCGTGAACGCAGCACATAACACCTTTATCTTTATCATAACACCTTTATCTATATATTAACCTGAACCGTCTTTGAAACAGCTTCACAACGTCTGTCAAATAAAGCATACGAATATCTGACAGGAGGGTCGTCTTGCAGATATACGGTCTGCCAACAGCTGATTATTTATCCAGTACTTTTAAATTAAAAAATAAATGAATTGGTAGCTGTACGAAGTACGTTAAACATGCGTTCGGTTTCAAATTGATCTTTAGCACTATAAAAGATGTCGTTTAAAAATGGCAAACATCATTCTAAGCTGCTTGTAAGCATAATGTCTTCACAAATTTACCCTCATAAATGTCAAAGTCAAACGCCAAAGCCAGAGAATAACCAATCTCGATTATCCACCGAAACAGATTCCATCGGACGTAAAAAGCAAAATAGCGGTGAAAACTATATAAATGAATCACTGAAATCTAGCGATGAAACCAGGTGTTCGCTAACGAATGTTCAAATAGGAACTAATATCATAATGGGTATGATCCAACATTTTCAAGATGATCCAAATCAAAATTAAAGACAGTCAAATACTAAATAATTTACTGTGGTCGGCGAGGGAGACAGCGAATAATTCACGGGCCCTTGTTTCGTGTCTGTGTCCCATTCACACAAACGCATCCTGGGGTCGTCGTGTAATTTCTATTGTTAAATGACATATTTATGACGAGAAGGAGCCTTAAATGCAAAGCTCCCCGAACACAACCACTAACAGGACGGGTCTGCCAAATATATTTCAACCAGCATGACAATGATTGTCTTCATTAACACAAAGATTGAAAGGATTGACATTTGAGCGGGGCAATAAACGTAATGGATTAAATTCAAGGATGAGTGTTATCCCCAAGAATCATACAAGTGTTGAATAATGATGTTAAGTCCTAGGGTTAGAAATAACCGAGTTCATAAAAGGTGCGCTAGTGCAAATATATCACTTCATGCGAAACAAAGTATATTTTTACGCGCTCTGGAGAGCATCGTTGACGTCATGATAATCTTATTGTGACGTAATGTCGGATGACGTCACATTTAAATGACGTCACTTCTGACAATTGTGGTTTTCAAGGATGGTGGTCTAGATCAACGCATTTTTGCAAAGGGTAACTCAAAAGGCTTAAAAATAATGGGTAATAAAGAAACTATTACACTCGCATGTGTGTCATACTGATTTTACGAAACTCGTTTTAAGATTTCACGTATTACCCTTGCTCTCGCTCGGGAAATACATGATTGCTGACACTCGTTTCGTAAAATCAGTATGACAAACATGTTCTTATAATAATGTCTACATACGTATTTTAAATCATTTCAAATCTGTGCTTAAACATGGAAGACACATTCTAAAGATCCAGATATGACCTGACCGCGCACATAAGGCAATATCGTTTTCCAAACATTCCCGTAACAGTGACATTATGTAGTATATGAACATTTATTGATACAAATCTGTTGGACTAACAACACATGAATTAAACCATTTTGGGGCAATTGTTTCCGTGTCTGAAAACCTCAACATCCGGCAGTGAATGGGTACCATGTAGGGTGTGATGTAAATGTGACTTTTAACTTAGCGCCTCACAGGCAGTATGGGTTGAATACCCCCCAGGGAGCTGAGAGTAAAATTCGAGTTAAACCGATCCATTGGCCAGGGTAATAAGGTAGCGCTTTGTGTATGCTTTAGAGTGCAATATAAATATGCATATTATTATTCATTATTATTGTCATGATGAACATTACAAAACAGATCCTGTCCGTTATGCACCTTCTTTGTTTCATTACAGAACCTATACCATAACACTGAAGGTTAAACTCTATGAAATCTCACGTGGTGTATTTCTGCAGCAGCTCTCTATCTTCCTTCTTTACGTCGTCGATGTTTATGCGACCTTCAAGTAGATCCAGCGCCTGCTGTCGCATCTGATAGGAAGACTTCTTGTCCAGTGGCTGACCAAGAGGGTTGATGTCCCTCTGGCGGTGACCTCCTGATGGCTTGCGGAGCATGGAGTCGTACTTGTCGTCGGACATGTCCAAGGGATTGTCGATGATGTTGTCGTGCATGGAGAGGAAGAGCGGGATGTAGCATATATAGTCGAGGAAGGATATCTGAAACAGAACCATATAGAGCCATGCCTTACATAAAGAATGCCATGCTTAACATAAAGAGAGTCATTCCTAACATAAAGAGAGCCATGCTTAACATAAAGAGAGCCATGCTTAACATAAAGAGAGCCATGCTTAACATAAAGAGAGTCATTCCTAACATAAAGAGAGCCATGCTTAACATAAAGAGAGCCATGCTTAACATAAAGAGAGCCATGCTTAACATAAAGAGAGCCATGCTTAACATAAAGAGAGTCATTCCTAACATAAAGAGAGCCATGCTTAACATAAAGAGAGCCATGCTTAACATAAAGAAAGCCATGCTTAACATAAAGAGAGCCATGCCTAACACAAAGAAAGCCACGCTTAACATAAAGAGAGCCATGCCTAACACAAAGAAAGCCACGCTTAACATAAAGAGAGCCATGCTTAACATAAAGAGAGCCATGCTTAACATAAAGAGAGCCATGCTTAACATAAAGAGAGCCATGCCTAACACAAAGAAAGCCACGCTTAACATAAAGAGAGCCATGCTTAACATAAAGAGAGCCATGCTTAACACAAAGAAAGCCATGCTTAACATAAAGAAAGCCACGCTTAACATAAAGAAAGCCATGCTTAACATAAAGAAAGCCACGCTTAACATAAAGAAAGCCATGCTTAACATAAAGAGAGTCATGTTTAACATAAAGAGAGCCATGCTTAACATAAAGAGAGTCATTCCTAACACAAAGAAAGCCACGCTTAACATAAAGAGAGCCATGCTTAACATAAAGAGAGCCATGCTTAACATAAAGAAAGCCATGTTTAACATAAAGAGAGCCATGCTTAACATAAAGAGAGTCATGTTTAACATAAAGAGAGCCATGCTTAACATAAAGAGAGTCATTCCTGACACAAAGAAAGCCACGCTTAACATAAAGAGAGCCATGCTTAACATAAAGAGAGCCATGCCTAACACAAAGAAAGCCACGCTTAACATAAAGAGAGCCATGCTTAACATAAAGAGAGCCATGCTTAACATAAAGAGAGCCATGCTTAATATAAAGAGAGCCATGTTTAACATAAAGAAAGCCACGCTTAACATAAAGAGAGCCATGCTTAACATAAAGAGAGCCATGCTTAACATAAAGAGAGCCATGCTTAAAATAAAGAGAGCCATGCTTAACATAAAGAGAGCCATGTTTAACATAAAGAAAGCCACGCTTAACATAAAGAGAGCCATGTTTAACATAAAGAAAGCCACGCTTAACATTAAGAGAGCCATGCTTAACATAAAGAGAGCCATGCTTAACATAAAGAGAGCCATGCTTTACAAAAAGAGAGCCTTGAACATAAGGAGGGCCATGCCTAACATAAAGAAATAAACGCTTAACATACAGAGAGTCATTCTTAACATAAAGAGAGCCATGCTTAACATAAAGAGAGACATGCTTAACAAAAAGAGAGCCTTGAACATAAGGAGGGCCATGCCTAACACAAAGAAAGAAACGCTTAACATAAAGAGAGCCATGCTTAACATAAAGAGAGCCATGCTTAACATAAAGAGAGCCATGCTTAACAAAACGAGAGCCTTGAACATAATGAGGACCATGCCTAAAACAAAGAAAGAAACGCTTACTATAAAGAGAGTCATTCTTAACATAAAGAGAGCCATGTTTAACATAAAGAGAGCCATGCTAAACCACAAAGAGAGCCATGCTTAACATAAAGAGAGCCATGCTTAACAAAAAGAGAGAATTGAACATAAGGAGGGCCATGCCTAACACAAAGAAAGAAACGCTTAACATTAAGAGAGACATGCTTAACATAAAGAGAGCCGTACTCAACATAAAGAGAACCATGTCTTACATAAAGAATGCCATGCTTAACATAAAGAGAGCCATGCCTAACACAAAAAAAGCCACGCTTAACATAAAGAGAGCCATGCTTAACATAAAGACAGACATGCTTAACATAAAGTGAGCCATGCTTAACATAAAGAGAGCCTTGCTTAACATAAAGAGAGCCTTGAACATAAGGAGGGCTATGCCTAACACAAAGAAAGAAACGCTTAACATTAAGAGAGCCTTGCTTAACATAAAGAGAGACATGCTTAACATAAAGAGAGCCGTACTTAACATAAAGAGAGCCATGCCTTACATAAAGAATGCCATGCTTAACATAAAGAGAGCCATGCCTAACACAAAGAAAGCCACGCTTAACATAAAGAGAGCCATGCTTAACATAAAGACAGACATGCTTAACATAAAGAGAGCCATGCTTAACATAAAGACAGACATGCTTAACACAAAGAGAGCGATGCTTAACATAAAGAGAGCCATGCCTAACACAAAGAAAGCCACGCTCAACAGTAAGAGAGCCATGCTTAACATAAAGAGAGCCATGCTTAACATAAAGAGAGCCTTGAACATAAGGAGGGCTATGCCTAACACAAAGAAAGAAACGCTTAACATTAAGAAAGCCATGCTTAACCTAAAGAGAGCCATGCTTAACATAAAGAGAGCCATGCTTAACATAAAGAGAGCCTTGCTTAACATAAAGAGAGCGATGGCTAACATAAAGAGAACCATGCCTAACACAAAGAAAGCCACGCTTAACAGTAAGAGAGCCATGCTTTACATAAAGAGAGCCATGCTTAACAAAAAGAGAGCCTTGAACATAAGAAGGGCTATGCCTAACACAAAGAAAGGAACGCTTAACATTAAGAGAGCCATGCTTAACATAAAGAGAGCCATGCTTAACATAAAGAGAGCCATGCTTAACATAAAGAGAGCCATGCTTAACATAAAGAGAGCCATGCTTAACATAAAGAGAGCCTTGCTTAACATAAAGAGAGCCATGCTTAACATAAAGACAGACATCCTTAACATAAAGAGAGCCATGCTTAACATAAAGACAGACATGCTTAACATAAAGAGAGTGATGCTTAACATAGAGAGAGCCATGCCTAACACAAAGAAAGCCACGCTTAACAGTAAGAGAGCCATGCTTAACAAAAAGAGAGCCTTGAACATAAGGAGGGCCAGGCCTAACACAAAGAAAGAAACGCTTAACATTAAGAGAGCCATGCTTTACATAAAGAGAGCCATGCTTAACATAAAGAGAGCCATGCTTAACATAAAGAGCGCCATGCTTAACATAAAGAGAGCCATGCTTAACAAAAAGAGAGCATTGAACATAAGGAGGGCCATGCCTAACACAAAGAAAACCATACTTAACATAAAGAGAGCCGTACTCAACATAAAGAGAGCCATGTCTTACATAAAGAATGTCATGCTTAACATAAAGAGAGCCATGCCTAACACAAAGAAAGCCACGCTTAACATAAAGAGAGCCATGCTTAACATAAAGAGAGCCATGCTTAACATAAAGAGAGCCATGCTTAAAATAAAGAGAGCCATGCTTAACATAAAGAGAGCCATGTTTAACATAAAGAAAGCCACGCTTAACATAAAGAGAGCCATGTTTAACATAAAGAAAGCCACGCTTAACATTAAGAGAGCCATGCTTAACATAAAGAGAGCCATGCTTAACATAAAGAGAGCCATGCTTTACAAAAAGAGAGCCTTGAACATAAGGAGGGCCATGCCTAACATAAAGAAATAAACGCTTAACATACAGAGAGTCATTCTTAACATAAAGAGAGCCATGCTTAACATAAAGAGAGACATGCTTAACAAAAAGAGAGCCTTGAACATAAGGAGGGCCATGCCTAACACAAAGAAAGAAACGCTTAACATAAAGAGAGCCATGCTTAACATAAAGAGAGCCATGCTTAACATAAAGAGAGCCATGCTTAACAAAACGAGAGCCTTGAACATAATGAGGACCATGCCTAAAACAAAGAAAGAAACGCTTACTATAAAGAGAGTCATTCTTAACATAAAGAGAGCCATGTTTAACATAAAGAGAGCCATGCTAAACCACAAAGAGAGCCATGCTTAACATAAAGAGAGCCATGCTTAACAAAAAGAGAGAATTGAACATAAGGAGGGCCATGCCTAACACAAAGAAAGAAACGCTTAACATTAAGAGAGACATGCTTAACATAAAGAGAGCCGTACTCAACATAAAGAGAACCATGTCTTACATAAAGAATGCCATGCTTAACATAAAGAGAGCCATGCCTAACACAAAAAAAGCCACGCTTAACATAAAGAGAGCCATGCTTAACATAAAGACAGACATGCTTAACATAAAGTGAGCCATGCTTAACATAAAGAGAGCCTTGCTTAACATAAAGAGAGCCTTGAACATAAGGAGGGCTATGCCTAACACAAAGAAAGAAACGCTTAACATTAAGAGAGCCTTGCTTAACATAAAGAGAGACATGCTTAACATAAAGAGAGCCGTACTTAACATAAAGAGAGCCATGCCTTACATAAAGAATGCCATGCTTAACATAAAGAGAGCCATGCCTAACACAAAGAAAGCCACGCTTAACATAAAGAGAGCCATGCTTAACATAAAGACAGACATGCTTAACATAAAGAGAGCCATGCTTAACATAAAGACAGACATGCTTAACACAAAGAGAGCGATGCTTAACATAAAGAGAGCCATGCCTAACACAAAGAAAGCCACGCTCAACAGTAAGAGAGCCATGCTTAACATAAAGAGAGCCATGCTTAACATAAAGAGAGCCTTGAACATAAGGAGGGCTATGCCTAACACAAAGAAAGAAACGCTTAACATTAAGAAAGCCATGCTTAACCTAAAGAGAGCCATGCTTAACATAAAGAGAGCCATGCTTAACATAAAGAGAGCCTTGCTTAACATAAAGAGAGCGATGGCTAACATAAAGAGAACCATGCCTAACACAAAGAAAGCCACGCTTAACAGTAAGAGAGCCATGCTTTACATAAAGAGAGCCATGCTTAACAAAAAGAGAGCCTTGAACATAAGAAGGGCTATGCCTAACACAAAGAAAGGAACGCTTAACATTAAGAGAGCCATGCTTAACATAAAGAGAGCCATGCTTAACATAAAGAGAGCCATGC